CACAACCTTCCTCCTTTATCCGGGCTTGGGACATGCTATACAATATAGGTGGAGTTGTATTCTACAAGAAGCATTTTATCAATTTCACCATCCTCATGTATAATGGATCTAAAATATTTGATATGTAATCTTTTATTTCATCACATTATCTATCTATTAGGTATTTTATCTAGTATTTAATTATCATCTAGAGATATTAGACAGATTTAACCTAGATTTATTAGAGTTAGAGAAGCAGACTTGTTGCCTCAAAATTTAGTCTCAGTCACACTTTTTCTATATGTTCAAAATGTGGAATGTTAAATAGCTAGCTCTTGGTTGAAAGTATGCTCGAGTATAATTTAATTCGCATTTTCGCAGTAAAAATTTTATGTGAGCTGGAATTTGATTGGTGCAGATTGAATGGAATGTCAGAGGTGGCTCCTTGAGAAATGTTGATTCTGCTCGTGTATCAATTCCTACCACATAAAGTATGATGATTCTAAGAAATGGTGGGTACTTATGTTTTTGAGTTCAATTATGCAGTTTACATTTTGCAAGATGGGTTAAATTCCCTCTTGATGGGCAGTGTCAAATCTTAGTTTTGTGTTGCAGTTATGTTTATCGAACACCACTAGAAGAGACTGAACAATACTGGAAAGGCTGGTATGTATAATCTTATTTTGCTGTTAACTGACTATTGAAAAAACATATTAAATGAGAACTGTTGGATGGGGCCAATCCCTAGGCCCATTTCACAAAGTCCTTTTTTTTTTATTTACAGAGTATATTACCATGTATATTTCTCTTAATCATAGGATAATTGGGTTTGATTAGGATCAGTGTTTTATTCCCTCACATGATTCTCGGGTGTGTATAGTTGCCCTATACTTTTTTAAAGCCTGGTATTCTGTTTTTTGGTTATGAGAATGAATTTGGTCTTGGAGATGCTCAAAAACGATTGCTTCCATGACACAGTATTGGGAAAATTTTTCAAATGACACAGGGAGAACGAGGCTACAGAGAGTATTTAGTGTATTCTCTGGTCCTTTTGCTAAAGGAAATTGTGACGTTAAGTTCAGTTTCAGTTTCACTTAGAAAAGGGCTAGAACTTGTGTTTTCCTCTTTTTGAATTTTAGTTCAGAGTTATAGGCTTGCATTTTCCGGAGTTGGAGCTGTTCTCAAGTATACCTGCAAGTAGCTCCCATGTATCTTTTATAACAGATTATTTTGGGGCTAGAATGAGCGGAATCATTATCAATGTTTGGCTGATATTGCACCGATGGCCTACTCTAATGAATATTTCATAATCAAGAGACTCGGCCTTTCCTCAAATCATGGTTAATTAGGTTCCTAGTTTTCTGCTTTTAAATCTGGCACATCACAATGACAATATACATCTTTATCATACAAATATACTGTGGATTTAAAACAGGTAGAAGTATGATGAATTTCTTATCCGAAAATTTCATGGTGGCTTTTCTAGTATTTTCTACATTTAAGCTTAAATTTAAGAGTTTAATTTTCATTTAACAGGTATGAAGGCCTTTCAGACACATTTTTGTCATGTCCTGTTCCTAAGCTGTTGCTGTTGGCTGGAGCAGACAGATTGGACAGGTGCCCTTTTTAATTTCTTTAAGCTTGCGGGGCTTTCCTGGAAGCTTATTATTTATTGTTTTCACAGAAATTCTTGTTCATTTTAGTTTGTTGATTTCTATAATTGGAATGAGATTTGACTTTTTTTTTTTTTTTTGGCTCTTACATTACCCCCTTCCCCAATTATGATGTTGAAACTTTATCTGTATGTTCCAAGTGGCCGAACTGAATAATTGGCAAAATGAATAAATAAGTTGCTTAGCGTAGTGCAGTTTTTGGGAGGTTATTTTGGGTGTCTATCATAAATAGTATTATTTTGATCTAATAAATATTCAGGATTTGCCAAGAGTATTGTTCCCATCACTAGATTCAAAAAGATGAGAAGAATGACGGGTGATGCCAGAAATATCATCATCTACTGGCCAATATGAACTAATACAGATGTGTCCCGCATTTTAATTTGTCCTTTTCTTTTGGTTTATTTTAGCAGTATATAAGGCAGCATTGTACGGGGAATACTGAATTCATAGTGAAGTGTATGGTCTCATTATTTTTCTTGTTTTTTGGGGGAAAAAAATTATTGGTTATTCCTTGCATCATTCTGTTGCAGTCCTTTTATTATCCTGCATCTCTTGGCATGCACCTGAAACAGGATGGTGAGAATTGTCCTTTTTCAGATAACAAAGATAGTGTTTGTATAATGAATATAATTTTGTAAGTTTTATTTTCTTTATTTTATTTATTTTTGAGTCCAAAATTTTGTAAGTTTTTATAAATAATTAAGATAGTTAGTGTATATGTATGCAGAACCTTGTTTCACTTTAATATTGATAATGTGAATGGGATTTCATGACAGTATTCAACACATAATTGCAATATAATATCTCTTTCGGGCAATGATATCTAAGCAGAAACAGGAAAGTGAAGTTTTTGAATGTTTGGTAGATAGCACTATCGTAACATATTTTTCCTCTCATTTTTTGTGTCACGAGTGCTAAAATGGAATTGTTCAGTGGCATTCGGATATTTGATTGGCACTTTGTTTTGACAGGTCTCTAACAATTGGTCAAATGCAAGGGAAGTTTCAAATGGTGGTTGTCAGACATACTGGACATGCTATACAGGTTTCTATGGGTCATGTCTCTTGCAGCATTTATTATATTATTTTTTCAATCTCTTTGCCTTGAGATCTAATAGCTTCTGGCCGAATCTATTTAGGAAGATGTACCTGATGAGTTTGCGACTTTGATAATCAACTTTATTTCTCGCAACCGAATAGGTCCTCATGGAATAGAGGTAATTATTTCTATTCTCTTTTGTGTTACTTATGACTGCCCTGGAGAAGTTTCTACTTTGTAGATCCTCTAAGTGGGTTTTGGCCGTTTGTAGGATTGTTGGTGTTTTCTATTATTTGGTTTGAGTTTTTCCACTCGATATGGATTATTTTTAAATCTTCTGTTGCAGACAGTCACTTGGACTGTAGGTCCCCCCCCCCCCCCCATCTAGCTCTGATGAAAGGTAATAATCATTTGAATACAGAGAGAGAAAGGCGCGTGACTTCGATCTTGTTGAAAGTATTTCATTCACGAGGCAAAGTCCCTTGAGCTAGTTTGATCCATAAGATAAAACTGCTATTGCGCTTGAGAAAGTAAAGGCAGTATTTTCAATTGTCTTTCTTTGTTGCTATTGCTACTGTGTGCGCCCCTTTAGACTTCCGATTTTTTGAAACATTGGAATCATGAGGAGTATGAGAGATGAATTTTAGTGAAGAATTAAATTCATTATATGATATGTGGCTCTTGAGTATATGACCCAGAGTTGAGAAAACTTCATCCAATGCATTAAATGGCTAATTAATGGCAAATGAACATTGAGAAAAATAATAGGGTAAAAGTCATTTTTGCCTTGGAAGTATTGGCAAAGAAGCTTTGGGCATTCAGAAGTTTTTTTTTTTTTTTTTAAAAACTCAATATCACCTTATAAGTGTTAAAAAAGGAGCAATGTTGCCGTTTTCTTTAAAAATTTTCAAATTCCCACAGCTCATATGCAAATACTTCCTTGACAAATATGGCGATCTTCAACACAATAATACCACAGTTCCAGCGAATCATCATGTGGTCGGCGATGGCTCTTTTCCTGCGTCCCCAATAGGCTCTTTAGTTTCTCAATCTCCTCCTTGAGAAAATCAGCACAGCATAGGTAGAGGTTTTCCTCTGCTGGAATTTGCCATTGTCATGAGTTTTGTTGAGCTTTGTCTCGTGGTGTTCTGAGGGCTACTGTGGTACTTCCAACATTTCTCCGTAGTGTATTGAGGCGTCTTGTAAAGTTTTGAATTATACCATAATATTTCTGGCTTGGTACTTTGCTTGGTTATACAATTTTTACATATAATTACATATGTAAACAGCTTGATGACATGAATATCCCTCATAATACTCATAGGTTTGACCTTTTTATTTTTCCTTCATATGGCTGCAGATACCTGGCCTCATCAAGCCATCCTTTTCAAAACCTTAGACTCAGAGGTTTGAGGCTTCAAATAAAGCAAATAAAATGATGATGGATGGCTTGCCCTAGCGTTGCTTCATGTGGCTGGTTACCTTATAGTATTTAATAATTTGTATGTTGTAGTGTACATTTATATAGATTATTATCAAATTTGATGACCCAACGAGAGAAGGCCAGGAAGAGGGGGGGGGGGGAACCCACGAGTTTAATATGAGTTTGCCCACTCTATTAGTTTAGATCTGCGGCTGACTTTTCTTTTTAGCAGTCTATCCTCTTTTTCTCTTCTGAAAAATTGTACCATTTACATTAAACTTTGATGGTTTAGATTTAATATTCTCAAAAAAAAAAAAAAAAGAGGACGAAAGGTTAACTTGAGACAAACTCTGAAAATATTTCTTTTGGCTTCAAGTTCAACGCCCCATCTGGTTGCCTTGGATTAGATGCTGTAGAGAATCCCATGGATGACGATTCCGTAGATTTGGATTCTGTGGATTCAGTTAGAATTTTCATGGGATGATTTTCTTTTTTGGGAATGTGGTCAGTCAAGATAAATTTTAAGAAAAACTAGAGTAAATCTTCTGTTGAAAATTTTATTGGTGAGAAGGATTTGATAAAATTTATATATAAAAAATATCAGTATGTTGCAAATTTTGTATACGGTATTCTTTTTATTTAAGTCCTTTTTTAGTTATAAAAACCTATAATCTAATTTCTACAATATTGGAAAATGTTTTATTAATGATCATTTAAATCGAAATAATTCGAAACTTCCTCTCTCAACCCCTTGCTTAAAACTACACTGGTTTCCGGAGCTATAGGATAGACAGCGTCGTGTTTCTGGGACTTCAATTTTATTTTATCTGGTAGTAGTAATAATAATAATAATGAAATCCACAGTTTCGTGAAAGAAATGAAGATAAAAAAAAAATAAAAATATCATGATTGAGTGAAGATTTTTTTTTCTTCAAAATATTTATACTCTGCACTTTCCGATTCAAACTCTGTTCTTGGGACGGACGCGCGCGCGCACACATATGTATGTATTTCTCAACTTGTTCGTCTTTTCCTTCTTTATTTTCCCCCTTAATTCGTTTTTCTTTGATGTTTCTTTCTCTTCCCCCCCCCCCCCTTTTTATTGTGTAATGTGTTTGGACGGTTTCCTGTAAACTTTATGGACAGATTCATATCCTGGTGCTCTAACCCATGTTTGGCATGAAAGAATTGTATGAGAGGGTGGGAAAGGAAAGTTTTAATGAAATGGATTTTTTAAAAAAAAATTGTGTGATAACATTTTGATAAAAAAAAATGTAAGATAAAAATGTAAGAAAAATTTTAAAAATTTTTTAATCTACTTTTTTAATTTTTAAATTGAACTTATTAAAATTCTTATCTTCCCTCTCTTTTATTCTCCTCATATCAAATGAAAGGGTAATATGAACCATTTTCGATGACTTTAATAAGAATGTGAGGTAAAAATACCTTATATTTGAAAAAAAAAAAATGATCATGTGGCAATTAATGTCCATAGTTTTTTTTTTTTTTCTTTTGGCCAGGTTCTGAGTCAGCTATCAAGTTCAGTGTTGTTTTGACAAATAAAAATATGGATCTCATTCTCAAGCAGAATGCTATCATCAATCATCAATTATAAATTATATTCTTAAAAATTTGTAATACCTGATTCATTTGAAAATGAATCGGGTATGACATTATTAGATATGAATATATTCAATTAATGATATTTGAATAACATGTTAATTAAAATTTGAATATATTGAATTAAATGAGAAATATTAATAAATGAAATCTCAATTGGAGGCTGAAAGAAGAAATTAATAATTAATTTTGATTTTGAATAATATCTTAATTAGGATTTAAATATATTGTACTAAATGTGAAGTATCATAATTAAATAGTATGTCAATTAGAAGTTTAAATGGAGAAATAAATAATTAAATTTAAATTTTCATCTATTCTTTCTAAATTCCGCATATGAATTAAAAAACATCATATTCCTATAAAAAGTAAATGTTGAGCTATAGTAGATAATGCAATTTATTAGAATTTTAAATATAATCAAATATGCCAATCAGGGGAGAAATTTGTAGTTGGAGTATAAATCCCACAACAACCCGACGACCTTTTAACACCAGTTACATTTTCGATTGCTTGATATATGAGTCAATTGCAACATGCAACATCATTGATGGAAGCCAAGCAATTAATACTTATTGCAATTAGCAAAGTCATGGGGGCAAATACAATTGGGAGATCTGCTATCAAGTCCCAAAAAATAAACATCAGTATTAAAAAGTCAGGAGCCCATAATTACAAGTTTCAATATAAGAAATAACAATTGTTCACTTGTCACTTGAACTGCTGAAAATTATTCTCTTTTCTGGGGGCCTCATTCTAATTCTAACAATACAATTTTGATGTGTAGAATAGTAGAGGCGAGCAACTTGATATTGTGGATAGTTTAAACATAACAAGAACATCTGGCATTAAATATCTACATTCATGATTCTACATTACATATCTAAACATTTCTAAAGGCATCAAACCTTATCATCACATAATGATCTAAACTGATAAGGATTCTCTTCCACCAAACTATCTAAACAAAAGTAAATTTGCATTGCAATAATTAACCTGAAGGTGCTTCAAACTGGATGTTGCCAACTGGTACAAGACTCTCCACATAATTGAAACCATTGCCCCAGTAGCGTCCTGGGACCGCCAACATCTTGCATTCATTGGTAATGATATTGATCAAGTATAGACCAAAATTTTCTTCATCAGTCTCCATTTCACGTCCTCCACTCTCATTTGTAAATATAGGCTTTCCAAGGTAAGCACAGACAATTTCATTCCTCCAAATGGTCACAGGATAATCTAACATGGATGGGCAGGAATTGCAAGTATATTTTTTAGTCCACCTCCATCTCTCCGTAGATGAATCTATAACTTCCTCTAGCACCCACAAATCAATCAAAGAATATAGATAGTTCGGAAAGTCACCAATCCCAGAGAGAGAAATCACAGCCAGCTTGTCCTCATACACAGACAACTTAGAACTTGAACCATCCGATAAAGGAGGCCATGGTATCAATGTAAACACTTCCGTGGCAATATCAAATGAAACCACCATCTCGATGTCATCTTCCACATCTGACTTTAGAACATGCCAAAAGATAGATCCATTGGCAGTGACAGTGCCACCAAAAAGGCTAACACCCTTTAAAGGTCCAAATTCTATTTCCTTCCATGAACCTGTGCTTAATGAATACACTTCAACTCCATTAATCACACCATCATACTTAGCATAAGCTCTCACTATCTTATAATCATTAACAATTGCACTGAACCCAAATCCTTCGGCATAAACCTCACTATTTAACACTACTTGTTCTAGGGATCTGTCTGACCTCTCCAATAGCAGGATTCCACAGTAAAAGAGATTTGCACAAAAAAGGGGAAGGAATACGTATAGCAGACTCATCGATTGCAACACAGAGCAAGCCATAGCTGGAACTGATGATCTTAACATGCAGCAAAGAGCCGATCAAAGGTGGGTTCTGAATTTTAAGGACATTCATCTCGCAATCGATCAAACATAAGTGCAAAGGCTCATAGCTACTGTTCTGTTTCAAAAGAAGAGAAGGGTTTTGAAGAGAGGAGTGGTGGAGGTGGTCAGCGATGAAAGATGAGGTTTTGAAGAGATTTTTCCAACATTTGCACACACATTGGAATCGTATTAGGGATTTCAAAGGGAGTCGTTTGAGAATGTTTCTCATAATTTCTTCAGGAAGAAATGGCGCGTCGCTATGCACGACCACCTGCCTCATAGTGCAAGAGAGAAAAGAACAGATCTCTCAAAGGAAAGTAGAAGTTAGGTTGAGGACCAAAACGATGTACCTGAGATTTTAGTCATCGTCCGAGAAGAAGGAATCTCACAGAGCAAGGCCCTCGCATTCAACCGGGGACTAATTACAAGCATAAATCATTTACGTCATAAATATTTTGCATCTTAGTTCAATTCCATTGTAGTGACAATTCTTATTGTATTGCTATATGTGGCTTATTTGGTTGGAGTTATCAATAACAGTAAATATTGCAATGGTAAGAAGAAGGGCTAAGATACAAAAATATCCCTGTACATATACCAAATATGCGTTTGGCACCATAAATAAATCTTGACAGTAAAAATATACATAATAATTTCAAAATGTTACCAAAATGCCATGACTGTTAATTATTATAACATTGATTATTTATTTGAACGAAAGTGTTGATGTAGACACTGACATGGCTTAAAGAGTTTGATAAAAAAGAGTGAAGGTGCAAATATACTTATAAACTTTTGTCAAATGTGCGCCGAATACCATATACAAACCTAGGGTGCATAAATACCTATTATTATTCTAAAGAATCCTAAGATGTTATAGTTGTTTAATTCATCAAAGATAACTGTCTAACTCAAACTTTTGACTAAATAAAGTGACAAAGACGTTAAGTTAGTATTTTAGTCTTCCTCCTTCAAGTGTAAGCCCCTCCTCTTTGCAAACTAGAGGAGATGTGACAAGCAACCAAGAGAGAGTAGCGTTGCTCTTTTTAGAAAAAAAAAGAGACTTTGATAGATGAAATAAATGAGTAAGTTTTGTAGAGAATTTCAGTTTGTTTCTCTTAAATGAAAGTGTAACGGTGAAGAGAAAACATCATTAGGATTAGAGGGAGACTAAAACACAATCATTTAAAGGGAGGAGCTAGTTGCACTTGAAGGAGGGAGGCTGAAACACTAGCTTAGGATCCGTGTCACTTTTTTTTAGTCAAAAGTTTAAATTAGAAAGTCATCTTTGATTAATTAAACAATTGTAGCATTTTAGGGTTATTTTGAAATGATCATAGGTATTTTTACATCCAAAGTTTGTTCATGGTGTCAAGTGCACATTTAGGACAAGTTCATAGATATATTTGCATTTTCACTTTTTTTTTTAATCAAACCCTCTAAGCCACATCAGCATTCATGTCAGCACCTTCAGTCAAATAAACGGTCAATGTTATAATAATCAATGGTCGTGATATTTTTGCAACTTTTAAAATTATTATGTGTATTTTTACATCCAAGATTTGTTTATGATGCCAAATGTATATTTGGCACAAGTACGTGAGTATTTTTGCACCCAAGATTTGTCGCTTTATCTTAATAGCATTTTTGAAAATTTTTTAATCTCGTTATTTTTTTTTAAACTTCAACTAATTACAAATTTTGGAGTCACATGGCAACTAATTAGAGCTTCCCAATTTGGCCTTTTTATTATGAAGATTTGTGTTATCCATTAACTTACTTCACAAATTAAAATACTCGAAGATTCCGTGTTCATAAACATTGACTAAACTCAGTTAAAATCCGGAAAAAAAAAAATCATATTAATCAATATATATGTGTGTGTTTCAATACTTTGAGTTTATAATCTGCATTAAGTTGAAATCATCAAACATAAATCTTCTTCCAATTTATATATGATTGATATTGCCCTTCTCTTCTAGCCAAAAAGATTACATTTTTTTATCTTTGCGTATCTGCTAAAATCTCATCTGCAAACCTTGAAATGGAAATGGCTTTGGTGAACCCAATAAGTTGGTCCTGAGCAAGAACATGAGCTACTTGTCCCAGTTAATATGCTTTGTCCTAGAATGAACAATTGGATTTGATGTTAACATCACACAAAATCAATGGAGGAGATGGTTGTTTTGATATTCAGCTTAAGTAACAGCATCTGTGATGCTTCTATATTCTGCTTCATTTGATGATCTAGTCACCGTTGGTTGCTTCTTTGAGAACCAAGATCCAAGATTTGGCCCTGAGAAAATACAATAACCTAAGGTGCTTCTGTCAAATCTAAAATTTTTTTTCTTGGAATTGCCTACGTTATCTCTAGTGCCATCTAGATGCCTAAGGAAATTTTTTTTTTAATACAACTTTGAAGTAAGAATAACATGGTCTCTGCTTATATTGACAAATCTTGTTGACCATATAGGAAATCTCTGGCCCAGTGATGGCTGCATTTTGCAGTCCATCGTCCACCAACTATAGGAGTATTAAACAAATCTCTCGTGAGATTTGCCTAATGCACAAGCTTTGTAACAAGAAGGGAAGTAAATGAAGTTTTATTGCCTAATGGAATATTACAATCATTCAGAATACATTCCTCAATTTTCGGTGTTTTTTTTTTTTCCATCTTTTGTTTCATGCTTTCATATTTGTGCAATGGCTTTCAAAATTTTCCAGTGAAGGGTCTTTGAGAAGCTTCTTGGTTAGTCCCTGGATCAAGTTTCTACAACAATGGATGTGTCACTGGTTTCTTATGGTCGTTGCACTGTATTTCCAGTTCTAGAGTTTTGCTCATATAGTTGACTTGCTATCCTTCAGGATTTTCAGGACCTATATGGTGGCTTGAGGTCGTTGCAAATGGCCTCAGTGCTTACCTTGCATGTGCACCTCATCTTCTGCCTGTGCTCGCATCCTACCCTGCGGCTTCATGGTTCAAGTTGGACTGACGCTTTTGTTCCGAGCTCCTCTCTTTAACGTTTTAGTGCATGTGTTGTTCTTTGCTTTTCTGTTTTCCTTCCAGTTATAGTTGGACCCTTGTGTCTTCATTTGCTCTTATTATGTAAGAGGGTACAAATGGATGTATGTCATTTTACTTAGTTTTTTAATAAACTGTCCTTTTACATTTAAAAAAAAAAAAATCATAGATGGATGGTCTCTGTCTCGGACTAGGATTTAGTTCTGCCTTTGATGGATCGGACTTTTTGACTAGAAAAATAGGAAATTAATCTGATAAACTGGGGAATTAGATCTGCCTTAGGATTTACTTGTTTCCCGCTCTTGAGTTTTCTGGCTCTCCCTCCCTCTCCCCCGGCCCCTCTTGCGGGTGCATCTACTATGCCACTCCAATTAAGTTCCAAGCTCTAGTAACCTAAACCTTGCATGAGCATTGAGGCTCACACAGCTTGAAGGTTGTATTAGTATGCTTGGCGTGTAAGCATGAGATAAAATTTGTCCACCATGCCAAAACGTTTTTCTTGGAAATGTGTTTGCGCAGGATTTAATGTGTTTGAATCTTTATTCCAGTGTGTAAAGAAATTTTTTTCGAAGAGCATGATTTAAATATTATAACTTCTGGGAGTCCTTGCCAAACCCGTATGTGTTGATACATTATGTGTGTGTATAGAGCGAGAGAGGTGTGACTTTTTTGACTTCGGATATACCTGCATGTCTCCCTTCCATGCCTTTCGCATAAACACACATGGAATTTTTCTGGTAAAAAAAAAAACACAAGGAATTTTATTGTATGCCTCAATGTTAACGACAGCATGCCTTTATCCTTACATGAATATGAATTTTAATACTTTTTTTTTTTAAATTTTACTCCTAATTAATTTATGTCTCTTACGTCTCTTTTTTTCCACCCCTTCTCTCTCGTCTCTTTTTCCACTCATTCTCTCCTCTACTTACCCTCTCCATAAGTAAAGATGTTTTTAACTTTCTTTTTAAATTGTGTGAATTAGTTATTTCACAATTATATTTTGAAAGAGGGAGTACAACTCTGTGCTTGCATCATTGATGGAAGTCAAGCAATTAATACTTGCTGCAATTAGCAGAGTCATGGGGGGAAAATACAATTTTGATGTGTAGAATAGTAGAGGCGATCAACTTGAGATTGTGGATAGGTCAAATATAGCAAGAAACATATGGTATTGAATATCTGCATTCATGATTCTACATTACACATCTGAACATTTCTAAAGGCATCAAACCTTATCATGACATAATGATCTAAACTGATAAGGATTCTCTTCCACCATACTATCTAAACAACACTAAACTTGCATTGTAATAATTGACCTTTAGGATCAAGGTGCTTCAAACTGGATGTTGCCAACTGGAACAAGACTCTCCACATAATTGAAACCACCACCCAAGCGAAATCCAGGGACTGCGAACATCTTACATTCATTAGTAACCATATTGATCAAATATAGACCAACTCTTTCTTCACCAGTCTCCATTTCACGTCCAATTTCATTTGTAAATATAGAACCACAAACAATTCCATTCCTCCAGATGGTCACAGGATAACTTAACATGGATGGGCAGGTATTGCAAGTATATTTTTTAGTCCAACTCCATCTCTCCCTAGATGAGCCTATACCCTCCTCTAACACCCACAAATCAATCAAACAATATAGATAGTTCGGAAAGTTACCAATCCCGGAGAGAGAAATCACAGCAAGCTTGTCCTCATACACAGACAACTTACAACATAAACCATCGTATAAACAAGGAAATGGTATCAATGTAAACACTTCTGTCGCGATATCAAATGAAACCCCCCATTCAGTGTCAACATCGTCATCCTCCTCTTCCACACCTGACATTAGAACCGACCAAAAGATAGATCCATTGGCAGTGACTGTGTCACCAAAAATCCTAACACCCTCTAAGGGTCCAAATTCTATTTCCTTCCATGAACCTGTGCTTAATGAATACACTTCAACTCCACTAATCACACCAGCAAACTTACCATAAGCTTTCACTATCTTGTAATCATTAACAATTGCACTGAACCCAAATCCTACGGAGCAATCCCACTCACCAAGTTTAACAGTTCTGGTTCTAGGGATCTGTCTGACCTCTCCAATAGCAGGATTCCACAGTAAAAGGGAATTGCACAAAAAAAAAAGTATACATATCACCCTCATCGATTGCAACACAGAGCAAGCCATAGCTGGAACTGATGATCCTAACGTGCGGCAAGGAACCGATCAAAGGTGGGTTCTTAATTTCAAAGCCATTCATCTCGCAATCGATCGAAAGTAAGCGCAGAGGCTCACAGCTATCATTCTGTTTCAAAAGAAGAGAAGGGATTTGAAGAGAGGAGTGGTGGAGGTGGTCAGCGATGAAAGATGAGGTTTTGAAGAGATTTTTCCAATATTTGCACACACATTGGAATCGAATTAGGGATTTCAAAGGGAGTCGTTTGAGAATGTTTCTGATAATTTCTTCAGGAAGAAATGGCGCGTCGCAATGCACGACCTCCTGCCTCATAGTGCAAGAGAGAAAAGAACAGATCTCTCAAAGGAAAGTAGAAGAAGTTAGGTTGAGAATCAAAACGATGTAACCTTAGATTTTAGTCATCGACCGAGAAGAAGGAATCCCAAAGAGCAAAGCTCTCGCAATGATGAGAAGACGATGGTTCAACTTAGGGTGACATCGCCGTTTATTATTATTATAATAAGCTTTTATTGAAAACGTCTGCTTGTGAATAAATATTTTTTTTTTTTTTGGTAATCAGGAAATGTCTGTAAATAGTTAAATGCGGAAAAATGTACATTTTAAAGATTTTATATCAGATTAAATATTTTAAAGATAGAATGTTGCTATCATAAAAATAATAATTTAGGATCAATTTTTTAAGCTAATTTCCAATCACTTATGAAATTAATTAATGAAATTTTCAGGCAAAAAAAAATTAATGAAATTTTAACATCTTATGTCATTTAATTTGAATCTTTCATTCCGCTGTGCAAAGAAAATTTTTTTCAAAGAGCACAATTTAAATATTACAAATACTAGGAGTCCTTGCCAAACCCATCCCATATGTGTTGACATATCATGTGTGTACATAGAGGTATAATTTTTTGACGGATAGATATCAGTAACAGTACAGGTTAAAATAGCTCGTGTCACTGCAGGGAGTGATACTAAATCAATTTTACAGGTTCTATGCAATCTGAGCATTCCAGATGCTTTACCTGCTAGATTTATATGGGAATATAGATGTATATAAAGGGCCTGTTTGGGTATCCCAAAACCGTGGTTTCAGAAGTACTTTTCCGCAAAACGAGATAATCTCCTCTACATATTTACTTCGTAATCCGTAAAAGCACTTCTGAAACCATAGTTTGGTTTCTATCCAAACACACCCAAAGTTGATTAAACACAAGTAACAAACGACGAATAATGGAATTGGAATTGTACTCTCATTATGTGAAATGCTATCAGTAAAAGGACAAAGATGTTAATGTTTGAAAGATTTAACCAGTAACACAATCTCATACCAATCACTTTCCGATTTAAAATGAAGATTGTAGCCAGCCATTACAGTTATCAGGGATTTTCAACATAGAAATGGTCAATTGGATACAAGGCTTTCAACATGATTGCAAATCAGCATGCCATGGCCTTTGTCACAGTCATGGATAGCTAATATCTTAAATCCATTACTAGCAAGATTGTACATGTATAGAGGAGTAGTTGGGTCATCATCCTTGCTTTCAGAATCAGAATCAGATTCAAATGCAGGTTTGCAGACAATTTCATTGCCCCAAGCAGTGGCAGGAAAAAAGATTGACTCGCTTTGAACAAGGGTGCTAATATACTGTCTCTGTCCTTAATATAAAAGTTAATTGACTAATTTAAGTAGATTAAAAAAGTTTAAGTTAATTATTTCTAATAAATAAGTATTATCTTTCCTAGAATACACTCTTTCTAATCACGTATATTAAATATAATTATTATTTAATAGAATATTTAATATATGTAACTACTGTAAGGATTATTTTGAAAAAAATAATTAAACATAAAAGACAAAATAGATTGAAGTCTTATATTTAGAGTAAAATTAAAAGTTAAACTAGTTTCTTTATGTCAAAGATTCAAGCTATTTGTTAGTCCAAGTCCATCTCTCTCCCGATGTATCTGAAACTTCCTCCATCACCCACAATCCAACGCGATCTTATCCCAGTCCAATTGGCGCAAAGCACAGCAAGTTCATCCTCATATGCGGTAAGATTTTGTAAACTCTTCACTTGCTATGTCAAATGAAACTACCGAGCTATAATCACCATCTCCATCTCCATCCCCCTCGAAACCAAAACATATCTCCATCAGTACTAACAGTCTCAGACCAAGTTTCTAAATTCTACTTCCTTCCATGACTTTGTGTATAATGAATAAACTTCAACTCGATTCAGTTGATAGACCCCATCCTTACTTTGCACATAAATTATCACAATCCTACAATCATTGACAGTTGGACTGAATCCGAATCCTACGCAGTACAAACCTTTAAAATCGCTGATAGTTATGGGCACCTGTCTGATTTCTCTAGTTGCTGGATTCCACAAGAAAATGAAATTTGTAGACCCACCATTAAAACAGAGCAAGCCGTTGCTGGACCCATATACGCGAAAGTAGCATAGGGAATCGATCAAAGGTGAGCACTGAACAAGAAGTTCTCGCATGCCACAATCCAGCAAAACCCAGCGGAAACCAGAGGATCTAAAACGACGGCATCTGAGCAGAAGTGAAGGGTTTTGATGACTGAAGTGGTGGAGATGTTCTGCTACAAAAGACAGTCTTGATAAGATTTTTCCAATGCTTGCAGTACGCATTGAAATCGGATTAGACATTTTACTGAAAGCCTTTTGAGAAAATTAACCATTGTATCATCAGGAAGAAAGGGTCTACCGCCTTCCATTGTCAGCGGCTTTACAGCTCTCTCCCTTGAGGAAGGTATCAAAGTGTTTGGAAATTACAGAGAGCGTAGGAGAACACGAACTGGGTTGAACCATTAGCACCAAGCGACAACATTTTAGTCTGCATTGTGGGCATATAGAGTCAGCATTGGCATGCAAATACAATATTTTACATTTAACAAAATTGAAGCACCGAACCAACACCCTAAATTATCAGTTAAAAAGACCTAGAGAACCCGCCGAACAGGGCAAGAAATTAGAAAACTGACGGCAGGTTTAGAAGAGAGATTATGCGAAGGAATTCAAGGAACCAAGTGCAAATGAACAGGAAATCCAGCAACTTGAAGACTTTTTTTGGCTTCCGACAGTGAGAAATTCTATTACGCGAAACCAACGAACACAAGTCTACTACAAGAAAAAGCACAGAGGCTAACAGCAAGCTAGAAACAGCAGCAAAACAACAAGAACTAAGCGAAAGCAAACAGCAAAGAGGTCTAAAAAAAAAAAGACAAAAAATGCCAAGTCCTATTATTCTCAATTTTTTTTTGTTAGATAACATACAAATTATTCTCATTCTTGACAGAAATGGTACAATTTAAAAAATCATTCTTACAAAAACAATTTTTTTTTTTTGAGTAAAAACTGGATACAGAGCTAGATCAGCAAGTCAATACAAAACAAAGCAAAAAAACTGCATACTGGTAAATACTTTTAAAATTATAACATTTTGGTTTTTTTTTTTTTACTGTGTATAGTACATCGGTAAAAAAGCCGCATCAAAGCCAGCATCAAGACACCGTTTAAGACCATGTGGAACCGCCAAAGTTCCAGTCATAGAGGGAGAGATGCATTCAGCAACCTTACACAAAAGGCAAAGGGTGACACCTCTTCATTTCTAGCAACTATACCAATACCAGCATTTTTATTTAATTGGTCAAACGCACCATCACAAAATAATTTCAAACCTGTCCACTAAACATCTTGCTCATTAGACGCCTCCATTCATCTAGAGTCTGAGCTAGCAATATTAAGACCAGCTCTAACCCAGCCATTAGCTTCCTAAAATGAATCAAGCAGGCAAGATGCAATCTGGATGACACTCTTTGGGTCATAGTTTTTATGTTAAAAAATAAACCCATACCTAGCTTTCCAAATTTCCCATAGTAAGCAGGCCACTAGAGCCTTTGCATTATCTGAGCAATCAGCATCACGCAGTAACTCTGGAAGCCAAGAATCCATGCGAGAGACAGTACTAGCATCCAATCTTAAACCTAAAGAGCAACGCAACCAAACCAAACCACACGAGTTCTATCACAAAGAAGCAACATATGCTCTAAAGTTTCAGGCAGAGCATTGCAAAGTAGACAAATAGGAGAACTTGCACATTTACGAGGCCACAAGGCATCCCGAGTGGGCACACCTCCTTTCATAACCTTCCATGGAAAGAATTTAATCTTAACAGGAAGTTTCAGCTTCCAAGTCTCCTTCCAAAGCACTTTATCAGCCACAACAGAGCTACTAACTACTTGAAGACTTAAATACAAAGAAACGAAAAGAAGAAATCAACAGGAAATCAATGCGCCAGTTTCGTCGTTCACGCCAATACATCACGAGAAGATGAAGAACAGGACGTTGGAGACGAACGGGAAATGAAAAGGGCGCTGGGGTAAAGGAGGACAGTGGAGGGAGGAGGTAGCGGAGAGAAGTCAACCGCGAAAGAAAGAAGTAATAAAAGTTCTTTCTAGCTTTTTTCCGAAGCTTAGCTTGTCACTGTTATGAGGAGAGAAAAAAGGGGTTAATACAAAATTTCTTCTCTCAAATTTGTTCTTATTTTAGTTTTGGTTTTACAAGTTTCAAACTATAAATTTTAGTCTTTCAAAAGGTAAAATAATCCAAGTTTTTATTAGATTATAGGGATTAATATTATAAATAAAAAGAAAATTAAGAAACCAAAATCTATGATTTGAAATTTGATAAGCGAATACTAAAATGAAAGCAAAATTAAAGGACTAAAGTTTCTATATATTAACCAAAATAAAAAAAGAAAGAACAGGAAAGGCAGTTTTATTGTTTAGTACATTCCTCATTTCAATCATACATGGATGGTGCTGGAGTTAGGATCCAGGTTCGTTTTTTATAGGCCGAACCATTTGATTAGGAAAATGGGAAACCCGAAACCTAATAAAATAAGAGAATAAATTAGCATTAGATTTCTTTTTTCAAGAGAATCAAGGAACAAGAAAGCTGTTTAAATATGAAATTAATCAGCATTAATTTTCTTATTGTTAATTGAGAGGCAAGCAAAGAATCATTCTGTAACAAATAAGAAAAACAACGCCCTCCTACTTAGCGGTCATCCTAAATCTATAAATTAGAGGTGTTGACCTCGCTTGTTTCTCACCCTGCCATTGAGTTTTTCAGCATTCTCGTATTCTATCTCTCTCTTATTGTCTTTGACCCGAATATGAACATAGATTCAGCCTGGTATGCTTTCCCCTCTTATTTATTTTTTTTGACATTGGCAAGCTCTTGTAGGGCTCAGAGGTCTGACTCGCATCTAAACATGGATTCGACTCGTTGCGCTTTCCCCCTCTTTTTATTTAT